AAAGTGAAATTTATCCTAAGAGCAATTGAGAAGCCCTACCCAGAAGTTAGACAACTAAAAAGCAGTCTCAGCTTCCAGTCTGATTTGTGACGATTCTAGGCAGGTGAAACTAATGTTGTTTCTCTTTATGCTTAAACTCTGAAATATTACACATATACCTTTCCTTTAGATGAGAAACATTTATTGAGCACCTGCACCATACTAAAATCTCTGTTAGTGTCTCAAATATTAGCAATTATACATTGGAGAACTGGAGGTATGACTTGTGAAGAAAGTGTAGAATTTGATATGCTAAGGGGAATGCTAAGTGAAACTTGAAGGAAAAGGAAGATTACTTTGATAGACGAAATCACAAATGAATATTATATGTGTGAATACCTTGTATAAAAGTGTTTTTCAATTTGCTCTGTATTGTTTTAATTGTCAAAGGAACATGATATATATGGATTTGACTTAATGAGTGATGAGTGTCAAAAGCTTTAGTATGACAAGACACTGAGGAATATAAAAGATAGAGATCCCAGCCAATATTCTGTAATTGTATTTTTTTTGGTTGGGGGGAACTGGGGATTGAATTCAGGCCCTTGCACTTGCCAGGGAAGCGCTTCTTCTACTCAGCCATTTCCCTGGCCCTCCCCTTTTTTATTTTTAAGAATTCATTCATTCATTCATTCATTTTTTTTTTTTTTTAATGTATTTGGTACAGGGCCTTACTTTGCAGCTTGGACTCATAGTGATCCCTTGTTTTCAACCTCCCCAGTGCTGGGATTATGGGCATGTGCCACCATGCCCAGTCTTGGTGTCTGGCTCAGAGTTCAGGGGTGAGGGTGGGCGCTGCCCGCAGCATGTGGTACCAGGGATCAAACCTCAGTCCCTGTGCTTGCCTAAGCAGGCACTTAGTCTGCTGAGCTATGTCGCAGGCCCCTGTAATCGTAAGTGTATCAGAAGCAATCAGTTACCAACTCTTACTTCAATGAGGCATCTCAGGACTAACTGGTATACTAGAAAGAAGGTGGTCAAGGGGAGGGGAGAAGAGAGGACTCTGAAAGAGGAGGGGAGAGAAAGTAGAGAGGCAGGGAGTAGAGGAAGAATACTGTGTTTAATAGCATGGACAAATCTACTTAAACAGTAACTCCACAGAACTGTGATTGAATAGTAAAGTCTAGAGAAAGAAGGATAATTTTGCTCTTTCCACCCCATTCTGTGGTAGTATGATAGTCAGTATGCATTACTTACTAAGCACCAGGCCCATTCTAAGTACTCTAGATTTACCCATCTGTAGTTAATACTATGAGGTGTGTTAGCATTTTACTTTTCTCTTTTTTTAGAGGAGCTCTGGTGTGTGTGTGTGTGTGTGTGTGTGTGTGTGTGTGTGTGTGTGAGATAATCTCTTTTAAAGATGTGGGAAGCAGTGGGCACAGTGACTCATGCCTGTAATACCAGTAGGTGAGTAGGCTGAGGCAGGAAGATTTCAAGTTGGAGCCTAGCCTGGACAATTTAGTGAGAATTTGTGAATAAATAAATAGATCTGGGTGCGGTATCACAAATTGTAATCCCAGCATTCAGTAGGCTGAGGAAGGAGGATTACCTCAAGTTTAACATCAGCTTGGACTATATATATATATACTGAGACCCTGTCTCCCCTACTATCCCCCCAAAAGATAACTAAGGGATGGAGGTGTAGTTTAATACAGAGCCCTGGGTTTAATTCCCAGTACCACTACCATAATTATCACCATCACAACCACCAAAAAAAAAGGAGTTATGGAAGGCAGACAGCTTATTGTATTAACACAGAGAGTGCTAGAGGGTTTGTTTGTGGGCAGTTAAGCTCTATAGTTAATATTCTTAAACGTTCTATATTGCCTTTCAGTCTGAGGTTGGCCCAGTCTGGCCTTGTTGATTGTTCAGCTAGTACTTGTCTACCAGAAGAAAAAAACTCAGAGAACATGCTTGTTCATTGTGCTGACTGCCCAGCACAGCTATTAATCACCACTGTATGGGGAAATAGTCAACAATGTCTATACACATTTAATAGATGACTTTATCTGTCTCCATTGTAAGTATGTATTACAGACAGTATTACTAAATCTTACATAAGGGATGGTCCCTAAAGACAGCATGACCATGTGTTATCAAAATATCTTTTGAAAATTCTTAGAACTAGGGGAAATTGTTACACTGATACTTGACATGTTTTAAAATTTTTTCACAACTAATTTTTCTTCCGGATTGAAACAAGTCACCATCTCTTGAGTAATCACCAGATATGTATTATTAAATATTGACATCGGGCCAGGGATATAGCTCAGAAGCACAGGGCCTGCCTGGCAAGTGCAAAGTCCTGAGTGCAATTTCTGGTTAAAAAAAAAAAATCTTAACATCATTGCACTCAGCAAAATGTGTGTTCCACTCACGTTCAGTGCTGGGAATGTTTTATTTTGTAGAATAGTAAATTGCACTAAAGTTTTCTTTTTTTTTTTTTTTGCTATCGGTCCTATGAATTTTTAGATTCATACAAGTATTAATTTTACTTCTTTGAATGTACATGTGAACTTGCAGGGTTTTTTGTTACTTGTTTTCATATAATTGGGTCTTTGTTTAGGAAGAAAGAACAGTTACCAGTTTGGTTGTGTTTTCATGTAGACTTTATAAGTTGCCACATGTGATCTTTTTTCTATGTTAATTTGTGTAAAGCAACCATATTCTGTAAAATGGGTGTTACATTCCTTAGGTTATCTGTGATATAATTTGTTAAGAATTTGTTTATACAATTAATAAATTAATATTTAAATTTGTACAATTCAGACATTATTATATAATTAAATACATTTAAAGCTCCATTGACCATTTTGCTTAACCTTAGACTTTTCCTGAGATTTAGTAACAGTAAACAGTGTGCTGTTATTAAAGACCCTTTCTTTGCATTCCTTATATATCTTGAAGCTGTGTGCAGTGTTTGGGTTTCCTCCCATAATATTGTTTAATATGGTTGTATTTGTTTTTACTCAGTAGTAAATCTCAGAGATCTTCCTATGTTGCATTGATCTGAAAGTAGTTTATTTCTTTGATAATAGTCATTCAGATAATTTTATTTTTCATACCATTATGAAGAATGTTGCTTTAATATTGTGTGAACTTTTTTTGGCTAAATGAATCAGTTTTAAATTTAAAACTTTAATAGTGCCCAAACAGCTTTACTTGTTTACTTTTGAGCAAATTTGTTTATATTCTCTTAAGAACATATGAATTTCTTTATACCTTTCTCAGTTTATTAATAGTAAACAGTCACTTTCCCCCCAACTGGGTATGTATGAAATAACATCTTTATTTTTATTACATATTTATTTTTATTACTTATATTTAGGACTTCGTGGGCCGGCCAAATAGCTCAACAGACCAAAGCCCCTGCTTAAACAGGCACAGGGACCAGGGTTTGATTTCCAGCATGCTATGCCAGCCCCACTCCCAGGGCGTGCTGGGATAGTGACTAGAATGGGTGTAGTGGTGTGTGCCTGTAATCCCAGTGCTTGGGAGGCTGAAAACAGGAGGATCACTATGAGTTTGATCTGTATAGTGAGGGCCTCTAGTCCCTGTACTAAAATACATTAAAATAATAAAAAAAAGGAGTTTGTTTTCTTTAGTATGTTTGGTATGTTTATTAACCCAAAGTTGGGGTTATGTTCTTTCATAGGATAATTTCTCTCCTTTATAGCCTTAGTTACTTTATTGTTTCTGGAACAAAATACCTGACTTCCATGACTTACAGGGGCAGAGGTTTATTTTAGCTCATAATTTTTGAGTATCAGGCTCTTGGGTAGGAAGGACATGGTGGAAGGGTCCGACTGAGGAAGGCTGCTCACATCATGCTGGTTAGGAAGTAGAGGGATGAACTGGAGAGGGAGGCATCCTTCCAGGTTGGACCCCCAGGAACTCACCTGTTCTCCACAGACCCATCCTGCCTGCACATTCAGGCACAGACACATCAGTGGATCAGGCCACTGCCAAATGTGACACCTCCATTGTAGCACATGATCTAGTTGCTCTCCACACACATTAGAATTCCAGGGGACACTTTAGATCAAGCCACAACATTCGGTATACTTTCCAGTGGTTGTAAATAAAAGAATGAGCAATCAAGAAGTAGTAAAATTTTTTTTTTAATTAATTTATTAGGTCTAGTACCTTTGTGAAACTAGGTCCTTGTCCTGAATTTTTTTTTTCTATAGTTATTTACATGTTCAGGTTTCTAGCTTTTATTAAGGGAATTTGCCATTTTACAGTTTCTTAGAAAATTGTCCATTTCAACACATCTTTTTTTTTTTTTTTTTGTGGAACTGGGATTGAACTCAGGCCCTTGTGCTTACCAGGCAAGTACTTTTTCTACTGACCTATCTTCCTGGCCCTCTTTGTATTTTTTTTAAAAAACACATGTTTTCTTATAGTTTTTCAAAACTTTATTAATTGAAATTATGCACCACCATGCCTGGACTCAGGCGGGGTCATCAAGCACTGGGGGTGGTGCTGGCGAGACATATGGTATAGGGATTGAACCATGGTCCCTGTGCTTGCCTGAGCTTGCCTGAGCAGATGCCTTAGTCCACTGAGCTATCTTGCTGGCTCCTGATCAGAGTATTTTGGAGATGCCAAAAACCAACCATTAAAAAAAGTTTTCTAGTCTGTAAATAACAGAAGACATAATTTTTATTGATCATGATTGGCATACATATGAATAATTATTTAAAACTATGAATTTATGAAGTTTATTTATTTACTTACTCACTTTTACTGTACTGTGGATTGAGATCAGGCCTTCAGACTGAGCTGTCACCAGTCACCTTTCTTTGTTGTTTGAGATTGGGTCTTGATCAGCTTCCTGGGCTAGGTTTATATTTGTAGTCCTCCTTCACAAAGTTTGTTTCTTCAGTGTGATGGGTACTTGGGGCTTGTATAATAAATATATAACCGTCTCAGACTATGTTTTTAATTTACCATTTTAGGAGCAGCAGAGTTAGCACGTCAGAATCCTGTTTCCAGCTGGTTCACTGCTATGCTACACTGCTTTGGTGGGGGAATTTTATCCTGTATGCTGCTTGCAGAGCCTCCATTGAAGTTTCTTACAAACCATACTAATGTTTTACTGGCATCTTCAATCTGGTAAGCAACCAGTGTGGTGAACTGTGAGATACTTTCAAAAAAATTTAGTAAATTGTTAGTGAAATGGAATTTATTTTCTTCAAAAAGTACTTTATGTTCATTCTGTTTTTTTGGTTTTTTTTTTTTTTTGTGGAGCCAGGGATTGAACTCAGGCCCTTGCGCTTGCCAGGGAAGCCCTTATTCTACTGAGCCATCTCCCTGGCCCACTATGTTCAGTATAAAGTACACTTCTTTCTTGGCCTTCTCACTTGCTTCTCCCTGAGGCAATTGCTGTTACCCTTATCTTGGGTATCTTTAATGGTAACATTTCAAACATGAAGGGTCATTAAATATTGGGTCCTGAAAAACTAAGAGTTACAGCATGATAAAAGTCATGAATGTGGCCAAACAATCAAAGTCCAAGTAATTGTGGCTCATATATAATCATTCTTGACATATTCTTTGTTGGATTTAGAGCTTTATGAGTTTTTAACGTTAATTTTTTAGATTTGATGTGAAGAAAAAATGTTACATGCATTTACTTTGGATTTGTGCAAATCCAAACAGGTGTGCTGAAGAGGATTGGTGCATTGAGTTGAAAAAAATGTCTGATACAAATCAGTGTGCTTTGTCAAAAGCAAAAAATATACTTCTGTAAAAATATTTTAAAAAGATAATAGCATTTTGAAAGTCTTTTTTATGAATACAGATGCTTAAACTATATAAAAAGTAAGACATATAGAACCTGATACTTTCCATCACTTTTACTTCTATTCTTACAGGTTTTTTTTTTTTTTTTTTTTTAATGCATTTGGTTGTTATAGGGTCTCACTACACAGCTTGGACTTGTGGTAATCCTCCTGCTTTTGGCCTCCCCAGCACTGGGATTATAGGCGTGCGCCACTACACCAGGACTCTGGCCTGCTCAGCCTGCCCTGGGAGCAGGGCTGGCAGGGCATGTGGTGCCAGGGATCAAACTGCAGTCCCTGTGCTTGCCTGAGCTTGCCTAAGCAGCTTCTTTAGACCACTGAGCTATCTTGCCAGCCTCTATTCTTATAGTTTTAACTACCACTTCTTGCTTGGATAGTTTTAATAGCTCCCTAAATGGTCTGGCTGCTCTTTTATTATTCCCCCGAATCTGTTCTTCATGTAGCACATGAACTGATTATTTTAAAATAAGTTAGAACATGTTGCTCTATGCCTGATAGTTGATCTTATTATGAGGAAAGTCTTCTTACAGTGGTCTATAAAACCCTACAAAGTTTTTTTGCACTGTTAGCACTCCTTTCCTCCTTAGTCCATTCTAACCACAAGAACTTTGCTGTTTCTTGATGTATAATGTATTATTTAACTTTAGTGCCTTTGTACTTGCTTTTTTCTTCCTATAATGTTCTTTCCCCAGAAAGCTTGTATTTCCTTGTATCAGAGAGTCCTTCTCATAACACATTACTCTTCTCTAGTTTTTTTCTTAAACTTTCTTAAACCTGACATTATCTGTTGATTTTTTAAAAAATGTTTTCTGTCTTATTCAACTAGAATAACAGCTTATTGGAGCAGAGATTTTATTTTGTTTTGTTATCTGTGTCCAGGTACTGTTATAGATTCAGTAAATATAACACAAAAAATATGGATTACTGTCTACTGTTACAGGGGATTTCCAAATTTGGGTAGCAAGGGAACTACAGATCATGATTAGTTGATCTCTTAAGTGAAATAAACTTGTACATTTATAAATGTGTACTTTCTTGTCTTAAGCTAAATTGTCTATTAAATAGGAAATTTAAAGTGCATTTTAATACAATGAATTAATAAAAGGGCCAGACAAATAGCTCAGCAGATTAAAGTGCCTGCTTAGATAGATGCAGTTTGATTCCCTGGCCTGCCCTGCTAGCCCCACCCCTGGGACAGGCTGAGAGGGCTGTTGAGACTGGGCGTGGTGGCACACGCCTGTAGTCCCAGCCCTTGGGAAACTGTGAACAGGAGGATAGCCAGGAATCAGATCTATACGGTGAGACCCTGTCCTAAAATACAAAAAAAAAAAAAAAAAAAAAAAAGCATTTCATTATTTTTTAACTTTAGAACTTTTATTATTCCAATGTTATATAAAAGGAGATTGAGACTTACAGAGTTGGTTAATGGCAGGTTTGAAATTCAACTCAGGCATTTAGATTATAATCCTACTTTTGATGAGCTCTCTTTCTAAACAATTTGGCTTTATTGAAATTTCAACTGAATCTGACGTGGTGGAACAGGCCTTGTAATCACAGCCAAGAGGCTGAGGTAGGAGGTTTGCCATGAGTTCAAGGCCAGCTTGGGCTCCGTAGTGAATTCAGGACAAGCCAGGACTACATAGTGAGACCCTGTCTCACCCCCCACCAAAATTTCAAGTAATGCTGAATAGTTATAAAATATTTTTAACATATATAAAGTATGAATTGTGATATAATAAAAATATGTATCTGTTATTTAGATTAAGAAAAATATCCACTTAAAAATCTTTTTATTATATTGTAAACATTTGAAAAACCACCAAAGCCAAATATGTGGCCTAATGAATTATAGAATATGTTCTTGTGACCAATACCCAAGTCATCACAGAGGGAAGTCCTTTCTGTTTCCTTGCAATTTCAACATCTTCCCACCTTAAATAATCATTATAACAGCACACTGTGCCTCTTTTATGGAAATCACTTCTTTACATATTTGTATAATTTTACCACCCAGTGCTTATCTATAGATATTATAGTTGTCATCTCTGGGTCCAGATTGGCTGTAAGGCTTTTTTTTTTTTTTTTTTAAATTATTTATTTATTTT